CCCCAAAACCCCAAAACCCCAAAACCCCATTAAAATTTTAAGATATTGAGAAATTAGGTGTTGGATATAGGGAGTTTAGTTGAGATCTTTGAAGAGGGGCTGGGAAGAAGAGGGGTCTTGGAATATCTTGTTGGGGAATAGAGAGGTGGTGATGTCGTTGAAGGCTTCAGGAGAGTGGAGGTTGAGAGGTGGTTTAGGGATTTTGAGGTCGGTAGGGGATGGTTTTGGGGAGGCAATGGGGGTTTGGATGTTAGGAGTGGTGTTAGTGGTCTTTATGTTGGAGTAATGGTTCTGGAAAGGCTTTTTATGGTAAGGAGGGGTTCTGGAGTTGTCTTGGGCTTTTGGATTTTTGATTTCTTCTACCTCCTTCCTGAGTTTTGAGATGAACTCATTGTCAAATACATCTTTTAAAGCTTCAGGTGTTCAAAGAAGTTTCTCTGGTCTTGAAAAACTTTGATACGATTTCTTAACTCCAACTCCATTAATCATTTCATTTTTCAAACTTCCATCTGGTGATCTGTTAGGAACCGAATATTTTGAATTCAGAATTGCTCTTAAGTTATTATCCTCTACAAAATTATTATTCTTTAGACTTTGTTTCTTCTATATCAAATTAATACAAACTATACAATTTCAGAAACGTCTGGAGTCTGATTATTGTTCTCATCAAAATTAGCAGTCTGTAATACAACTGGAGCTGCATTGTAAGCTACTTCATTGTTCTGCTCAAAATCCGCACATGAATTAACTTTGATGCTATCTCTCAAGATTTTGTTCATTGCATCATTATCTATAAAGTAATGTTTTTACAGATCTCAATTGAGGTGATAAAACTTACTCTTGGGATTTCTGGAAGTCGATCAATTAGCTTTACCCATGCCGTTTATACTGAACCTTTCTTTAATGCTACTGTTACTGACTATATAATTGTCTTTTTCTGAGTCCTTGTCTTCTTCCTATCAAGTTATTCATGTAAAATACTTACATTATAAAGGTGTTTGCTTTCTTCACTATGTCTTGCACTAGACTTAATATGATGGACTTCAAAGACTTCCTTTTCGCTTCCTTTAGGACTATTCTTCTTCAGAGCTTGAGGGGTGATCATCAAACTTTCAGGCTCTGGTTCTTCTAACTGGTCTTGATCTTCTGAAGGGGAGTTATTCTGGAACTTTCTGCCAGAGGGATGGCAACCATTATTGTGGATAAATGGATTTGCAATAACTTCTGAAATAACTTCTTGGTTTTGATTTTCTCAATTACTTAGCCTTCTGCAAGGCTCAATTTCGTGTATGTGGTTTCTTTCAACATTTTTAAGCTGATTAACCAGATTTTCTTTCTCTTTTAAGCAAATTTCTTTATTTGAGTTTATAGCTCTGGAGTAATTCCTGGATATCAACAGCTGGATTTTGCAGTTGCTTAAAGATCTCTTGGTTTGCTAAGAGGTTATCAGGGTGATCATTTCCAGCACTTTCATCTGATTCGCTCTCGAGAGATTCATCTGACATGGAGAGACTTTCATGAAAGTGGCTTCCTTTAAGAGATAAGCGCTTTTCTTCTTCATTTTCACCAAGTAAGTTTCTTTTTGGTTCTGCTTTAGTAATAATTTCATCATTTTGCTTGGTAATTTTAGCTGTTTTCATAATGTCAATAATGGTCTCAAACATTCTCTCTATGAAGAGCTTCGAATGGTTTTCAACTAAGAAAGGAAGTACTGGGGTAAATTGCTTCTGCTCATCAGGAATCAACGACTTAATTCCACCTATGTACTTGTACCGAAGTCTTGGAGGATCCATCGAAACTTTTGAATTATCCTGTGATTTCTTTCATCTTCGTAGGAACTCCTGCTCAATAAAACTTTTCAGGTACTTATCTTCTCTCACTGATTTGTATTTATAAAGAACCTTTAGGATGCAGGGTAAAGAGCAATAGTTCCAGTTTATTCATGAATAAACCTTGCTGTAATCATTTTCTATTGGGCGTTTTATCCTCCAGAGACAGACAGCTTTCAAGACTTGGTCTTCATGACCAACTGATATGTCTTTATGTCTCAAGAGAATTCAGAGATCATCTTCACTTAGAAGAGCTATTTTCTGATCATCATGAAGAAGATCAAAATTCTTACTAATGTAAGAAAGAAGGGCTGAGAGAGTAGGCTTTATTTTTGTATAGAAGAATATTTGAATGCTCTCCTGTTCTTGAAGGAAAACATTCTTTGGTATTTTAGCAAGTAAGGTCGGGATTTTTGAAGCACATATCAAAGGAAATAGCTGGATATTATCAAAATCATCTCTTTCATCAAGTTTAACTCCAGCTGAGATATAAACTAATGAATGCTGTGCTAAGCCAATAGAAGAAACTTCTTGGGAGGATCTTCCTGTATACCCGATTCCAAAATCATCAGGTAATTGATAGTAATATTCTTCTTTCTTATAATAAGCCTCATTTCTCTTCTCATAAGGATTGTTCACCATTCTTAATGAAACATTTAGAAAATCATCTTCTTCTTTAATATAAGAAAGTAGGATGCTCCAGTATCATTCCTCTGCAGCAAATGGAGGGGTTTCTTTAAAGTAGTTCCCTTTAAAAGCCCCGATCTTCCACGAGAATCAGTCTTGCACAACTTCTCCTTCAATTCTACTGTTCTCGTCATTAGAAGCAAGTTGCTTTTCATGATCAAAAAGTTCGAAAATATTATCGAAATCTTTTACTTCCATTAAGAACTCAATGACATCTGTGTGATCGTGGTATGGATCAGGAAAGAAGTAGACTATCGACTTGGAGATCATCATTTCAAATATTTTTAAAGAGATATTTGCTAACTCTAACAACTGGCTTCTTTGCCACTTAAGAAAATATCTTAGATGGAAGACACAGAAATCCATCATCATGCTTGTGAGCAAAGTCCAGTATTGAGACTCATCTTGGAGATCACTTTCTTGTAATTTCAGATAAGTCTCATTTAGAGCATATAATCAGTTAACCTTTTGAGATCTTCTGTTGGATAACATTAGCTAATACATCTTTTTCAAACCTTGTGAGTTCAAAGAAGGACAAGATCTTGGCAACCGCAAGCAGTTCCATCATTGTAATGTTTTTATTCCAACAATTTGCACCACTGTTGGATTTTTGGATGGTAGATTCGACAAAAGTAAGCATAATATCTAATATTTCCTGAGGATCGACTTCTTTATCAAAGGAAACATCTATACTCTTACACCCAATGACTCCTTTATGTGTCATGTCCTCTCATATCTTAATATCCCTTTGACTTTCATTGAACCTGTGGTTATTGAGATTATTCTGTATATTTTTACTGACTTTAAACGTAACAGGCCTATTCATCAATTCGCCATCTACTGCGTACACTCTACAGTAGAATCCGCTTGTTACCATATTTCTAGGGTTCTTATTTTCCCTTCTGTCTTTGTTCCTTCTGTAGAACAGAAAAGTGACTAGCTGTCTCTCTGAGTTTATCTTAATAACTTCTTCCTTCACTGACATTTATGCAGGTTTAAATTTTCTATTAAATTTTAAATATTTGGGGTTTTGGGGTTTTGGGGTTTTGGGGTTTTGGGG